GCCAGCTTTCCCCCAGTTTATGTACTGAGCATGATGTCACATGGTATGGAATGTCCCTTTGGCCAGTTGGGGTCAGCTGTCCTGGCTGTGCCCCCTCCCAGCTTCTTGTGCACCTCCAGCCTTCTCAGTCCGTAGAGCATGGGAAGCTGAAAAGTCCTTGACTAACGTAAGCACTACTTAGCAACAACTAAAACAATGGTGTGTTATCAATATTATTCTCATCCTAAATCCAAAACGCAGCACTGTACCAGCTGCTAGGAAGAAATTAACTCTATCCCTGCGGAAACCAGGACAGCTGTGGAGTGTGGAAGCCCAGAAAAGCCATGTCTTGCTGGAATTGATGTCCTGTCGTGGGCTTGTGCTCTGAGAGCCAAGAATTTCCCACAAGAGGTGGCTCTTGAGGGAAGCAGTCATGCCTGTGAGCACTGCTCATATGTGTACAGTCACAAACCTTCTCTTACAAGGAATCATCTGCATCAACTCACTGGGCACCCACAACTACTCAAGTTGTGCAGGCTTATGCCACCGAAAATGGAATGACACTTCACCTTCACAAAGCCCCTGGGGTTTTGGCCATGGGAAGGAAGTTTTCATGCAAGCCCTTTCCTTGCAGTTCAGGCTGCAGTGACTGAAAGCAGTCAGCTCACAGAGAAGTGATATGCAGTGCTCTGCAGAGATGATCCCTATCACTGCGGGCAGTGACAGAGAAGCTGAAGCTTGAAGGTGGGCAGCAGTCAGGGAGGTGCTGAGAACCTGTCTGCCCTGCAAGAACAGATGGGTTGAGCTTTCTCTGCCCACACAAGCTTTAGAAGCACAGGATGGTGCAGTGTGCGGCGATCTGAGGTGGCTCACTGCAGAGCAGGTTGTGGCTAGCTACAGCCCATGTTCGCTGAGCTGATGTAGTACCGCACTGGGCAGAGTCAGCAGCTTAGGTCTGTTGTGCTAGATCAGAGACCTCTACACTACTTTCCGTTGACAAGGACAAACCTGGCCTGTGCCAGGGCTGCGTGCTGCCCATACCACCTCACCCTTGTGGTGAATGGGGTACTTGGCCTCTAAGCCTTCCTTGTGTTGAGGCTCCCAGCTCCAGAGGCTGCTTTCCTGTCTTTTGTTTGGGTTTCACTTAGAACTGTAGGGTCACTAGGAGGACTTTTAAAGCAACCGTAAGCACACATGGTGTTGCCACGGAACCGCACTAGCGTAAAGGCAGAAGGATGGGGAAAGATCAGCTGGCACAAAGGGTAGTGGTTTTATAGTCAGTTTTAAGTTGAACTTGAGCAGTGCATCATCTGACATTGCCTTTGACAATCCTGTTGGTGTTTAACATTTCTTTCCATGGAGCAGAGTGAATCCTCAGGCCATGCTGGGCAGTTGCAACTCAAGAGAGGAGGTGAAAAGGAACATCAGAAAGCCCCATGTGGCACAGGGACCACTCATCATACCACATATGCTTTTTGCTCCCCATGCCCTTTCTCTTTCCAGGTTAGATGGTAGAGTCTTACTGAAACAGTGCAGGATGTACCTCACCTTAGGCATTCCGGAATCCAAAATGTAATATCATTTTATCAGCTTCAAACAGGGAAGTGTGTGACCTAGATTCTGAGGTGATCCAGGCGAGGCAGGTTTTCAACAGTGACAAATGCTGTTGAGAGTCCCCTCAGAGCCTGACGAAGGCTTCTCGTTGGGAGGAGGGTGGGGAGAGAGACTGCTTTGTCTGCTCTCAGAATGGGGCCTCTTATGAAATGATACCTTTCTCAGCTACCAACACCTCCAGCCATGGCAGTGATTCCAGGGAGTGTCCAAGTGACTCAGACCAGCCTGGTTTGTTTTGTTCCAGGACATCATTCAGTTGCACGTTAGCTGCCCCTCTGACAAGGAAGAGGAAAAGTCCATGAAAGATGGGGCTGAGAAAGAAGAAAAAGACAAGAATAAAGAAAAGGCACCAAGGAAAATGCTGTCTCGAGGTCAGGTGCTTGTTTGAACAGGGCAGGTCCTGTCTTATCCACTTTGAGGATTCTGCTGGCCAGTGGTACAGTTGTTGGAAGCAGAGCGGTTATCTCTGCTGATGACTGTACAGGAATGTCTCATTTTTATAACATCCTTTCTGGAGCAAAACATGGGGAGGGAGGGGGAGGGTTTCTCTAGATTGGCATGTGCCCCAACAGACTTGCAGGCTTCCTGCATAGTTTATAGTGATCTGGTAGCTTTTTAAAGGTGCAGTTGCAAGCCCAAGAAGACCCACTGTATAAACTTCTCCTTTCAGTTTAGATTTGATTTTATAAAACCTGCCATAGGTAGCAAGATGTGAGGTTGCAAGGAGGTGAGCTAAGTTTCTGCTGTATGATCCTGCTTGTATGATTTTCAGGCATAGAAATGGCTAAAAGATACACATTTAATCTGGTGGGCAAATTGCACCTGAAATCCTTGTACAGACAGCAACTCTGCACTGGTGCAGATTCAGTTTCATTTACTGTTTTTTCTGCGATTACTTTTAAATTAAAAAGGGTGTGGGGAGAGGGGAAGAACGGCCAGCAGGGCTTTCCAGTTAAATAGCTTGCGGGATCAAAGGTGCAGAAGTTGCTTGTACAGAATTATGGTATACTACACTTGCAGGGGCCTCCTGTAACAGCATGGTATATCCTGAGTGTGCTCTGAGTGGTTGGTTTTAGAGGCAAGGTTTCCTTCCATGAACTGACCTGATCTCTCTCTCTCTGGCATCCTCCTAATGGGGCCTTGTGCTCATAGTGTCTTGCATTTAGCATACTGATCCTCCCGCTGCTTGCAGGGGAAAGGGTATACAGTCCCTATTTTACAGATTGAGAAACTTGACCTAGAGGTTGCATTCAGAGCCTGTGCTAGAAACTGGACTTGAGCCCAGGTGATATGGGTCCCAACCTGTGCAGTTCTGTAACAAGGTGGGCTTTTCTTCCCCTCTTCCTGTTGTGAATAGTCGGTGCTGAGAATGAGGCTGAATTTCCTCTGGCAGCAATGTGGGGACATCATCCTCATGCGTGCAGTGAGACACACACCTCTTCCCTTCAGTCTATTCTATTGCAGTGTTTTGTTAATTTGTTCTGCTGCTGTTGTTGTTTCAGATTCCAGCCAGGAATATACAGACTCCACTGGAATAGATTTGCATGAATTTTTAGTAAATACACTGAAAAAAAACCCACGGTAGGTCCCTAGTCAGTAAAACAACTTGCTGATGGAGTTAAGGGAGGGAGTACCTGGCGACCAATGCTTCTTTGATTGACTCTTAAATCCATGGTGTTTGTGTGCATGTATGTATATGTATGTATGTATTCATGCATCTTGGGAGGAGGGATACTACAGCAGCTAAAGAAAGTACCTGAAAGTATGTTTTACTTTTTGGAATTCAGAAAGCGTTACTAGAGCAGTGTAGAAACAAAAAGCACAACTGTAATTTTATATACTGCAGTCAATCAAAACATGTAATTGTGTATTACGGAGAGAGAGAAAGAGGAAAAATAATTTGTTTGAATGCAAGCAGGAAGGAATCTTGATTGCTTTAAAACCCTTTCTGTAAATGATTGTCAAATACCAACCTCTAAAGGAACCGCTGCTGTGTCAGTAATAAATGTAATCAAGCCAAATGCTGGCATAGGAATAGCAAAGCTGGAGCCTCTACCAGTGGAGCTTCCAGCAGAGCAGACATTCAGTATTACCAAAAGCCAAGCACTGTTAGCAAAACAACTTTAAACTGAAAAAAATCTGGCAATTAATTTACTATATATGAAAAAATTTGGATTTTTTTAGTTCATTCCTGTGGAGGATGTGTGAAGCCTGGTTAATAGTGTTGCTTGCTCCAGGTATTTGTGACTTTTCTCTGTTGCAGGGAGGGGGGGGTACCAAGCAGAGAAAGCTGTGTTTCACTGTCTCTAAAGGTGGCCTTTTCCCTTTTCTTTTCTTGACAGGGATAGAATGATGCTACTAAAGTTAGAACAGGAGATTCTGGAATTTATTAGTGATAACAAGTAAGTGATCATCAGTTTGTGTCAAGCAAAAGAGGTTTGTAACTTACAGTTTAGGAGCTTGGGCGCCCAGGGGAGAAGGGTGTCTTTTGGACACACTGGTTAGGAGGCCTGTTCTGTTGTACATCCTCCACCTCCCATACACAAGGTTTCTGAGTATCACATTGATTTGGTATCAATTGCTTTAACACCAGATCCACTGTGAAGGAGATTAGTGCCATTGTGCTTCTCTTCCTAGCGTAAATTGGGGGTGGAGAAACCGGGGCAGGATTCACATCCCAGAACGTGAGATAGAATAGGTGTCTGCAGCAGAGCTTGCAAACTTCTTTATCTAATAGGATCAGAGAAGTTGCAGTATAAGTACTAATTCTGGCTCCTATTCCTGCTTAGAAACAAACGTGCATTTCTGCACAAGCTGGTCTTGTTTCAGGAAAGGCCTATTCAACTTGAGCCCTTGAATCAGTCCAACTCTGTCTGGAAAAGCAGTATAAGCCCATGCTCACACTCAGTGTAAGAAGCAGCACTTGAGTCATGACTGCTTTGAATAGGTGGCATGGTCTGATCTGGGATCTGGTTAAGGCATCTCTGACCTTGATCTCTCTTTTGGTGTCAGATTATCGTTATGTGTTTCAAGGCCTTCTAAATTCTAATGCTTTCTCCCCTCTTCTCAGCAATCAGTTTAAGAAGTTCCCTCAGATGACCTCATACCATAGGATGCTGCTGCACCGGGTAGCTGCCTACTTCGGCATGGACCATAATGTTGACCAAACCGGGAAGGCGGTCATTATCAACAAGACCAGTAACACACGAATGTAAGGAGGGGGGAGGGACGGAGGGAGGGAGAACAACTGGGCTGGCATCCCCTTCCCCTCCCTGCATGGTGCTACATGATCCCCAGACACAGAGCCCTGGCATGGTCCAGAGCAGGATGAATTCCACACCACATTTTTTTGCCTCCATAAGAAGGGCAGGTCCCCTCTCTAGAAGAGAAGAATCCTTCACTTCCAGTCCTAGGTGTATGTATTTGCAAGCCCTTCCTAGCTCTCTTTAGTTCTCAGAGAAGGGGCAGGAGCTCTTGTTGCTATCAGACAGAGGAGAGATTTAACACAACAAACGTCTTTGCGCACCCCCTCGCTTCCTGCAAAGCAGTGGTTTTATGAAGACAGTTCTATGCCCATTTTTGCCCTTCTAACAAGGGCTGGTTCTTCCTGCAGCCCCGAGCAGAGGTTCTCTGAGCACATCAAAGATGAGAAGAATGCAGAGTTCCCGCAGAGGTTTATCCTAAAACGAGATGATACCAGCATGGACCGAGATGATAATCAGGTAAGGGGTGGCAATGGGGTATCTGCATACTTTGTGAAAGTCAAATGCGACTTTTCTAAGATGAGAACAACTCTGAATTTCTCTTGGGTTTCCTGCAGTAACCTTTAATAGAAGCTTCCACCCCACCCAAGCAGCAGCATCTAGATATATCATGAAAACTTTACAAAATACTGTGGAAATGCATGAAGAATTTGTGTGGGTTCTATGGGGGGTACTTTTCTGTACCCTGAATATCAACTGGTGGCTGGGCCAGGCTTTAAGGTGAAGCCTTTTGCTAAGGTTTCTTTGGAAATGCCACAGAGCTGAGTGTTGCCAAGCATCTCTCCTACCCCTCCCCGGGGTTTGCAGCGAGTCAAGCTGTGAAGTCGTCAGGACCTCGCGGTGCTGCTGGAAGCAAACCATCGGCAAAATGAAACACTTTGAGCTCAGCAGCATTGCCAGTCATCGGAGCTAAAAACCATCATGAATCTCTGGCTGCCATCGGGCTGTCACAGGTGGCACCATACCCGTAACGCAGAGCTAGCTTGTTCATCTGTGGCTGTTTTCCCAGCCTGTGTCAGACAGAATCTTGAACGTCTAAAACGGAGCAAGAGACAGGAGACCTCTTCACCAGGGATCTCATGCTCTTTGCTCTTGTAGCTCCCATCTTTACATCGCCCCAGCATACCACTATCCCTTGCTTTGGGTCATGTTTCTGAACTTAAGTCATCAGGACGGGGAGCTGGTCATTGCAATCGGTATCAGTTTCTGGTTTCCCCATGGTGGCATTCTGCAGGTGATGCAGCTACCCACGAAGCACAGAATCCGTGACTGAGCAGGAGTTTGCTGTGTTGGCATATGCTCCAAAGAGTGGCCTTTAGCTTTTGACCCCTGGGAACAGACTGTCTTTCAGAAGCACATGGTGATATTCCTGATCTGTCCTTTCCGAATCAGGCAGAGTTCAGGCAGAGTGGTTGTGCTTAATCCAGGAGGTGGAGTGCACTAAGACCTCCAGGATGTTCATCCCTAGACATAGGTGTCCAGAAGGTAGGTTCAAAGGCAGAGGCTGTGTCATTGCATCCAGGCATCATGCACACACTCCGTAATCCACATCCACTTACACTGCTACATAAAAATATCAGCAGCTGACTGCGCCCTCTGCTCCCATTGGCAACTGCTGACCCGCTGAGATGTGTTTGTCCCTTCAGATCAGACTCCCCTTGCAGGATGGGAGAAGGAGCAAATCTATAGAAGAGCGAGAGGAAGAGTATCAGCGGGTCAGGGAGCGGATATTTGCACGAGAGGTAAGCTTGGATGATTCACTTGCCAGGTACCCTCCTGGAACTTTGTGGCTGAAGGTGTCCTTGAGTATACTAAGAGGTCAGATCTCGTCATTGCCTTTTCTACAAATTTCCCAGTGTTCTTGGTATCTACCATTGAATTCCAGCTCCTAACAAAGATGTCTAAGACATTGAGGTAGAGGAGCCACACCTCCACTCCCCAGTCTGCTCCTTCCCTAAATTGCCTGTTTCAAGGGGCAATAGGCCTGTGGGGACTGACAGAGGAGGCAGTTTTGCTCCTTGCTGCCCAGCAAGATTATAAGCTTATGCAGTGGCATTTCTGGGATGACTAGCAAATCAATCAATGAACCTGAAAGGAGCAGCAGCTGTCTTCCCCAGCTTCTGTCCAGTGCTGCAGCTTTGACCTCCTGACCAAGCAGTGCTGGCATTGGAGTATCAGGCAGGGCTCTGTGCCTTTACAGGATAAATCTGGGCAGTACATTTATTGTCTTTGTTAGGAAGTGTCCAGCTTGGTTATTGCTTCCTTGAGATCTTTGCTCCCTACGTGGAACTCCTCTGAGCCAGAGCTATGTTCCTTGCTCATGTCTGGCTCAGAGAGGCTGCTGTGCTCTGTTGTGTTGAGTACTGTCTGCCAGCTGGAGGCAGCTCTCCATGCTGTGCCAAGTGGCAAACAATGGAATCAGGGACGATTCCAAGTGCCCGTCTGCCATGGATTACGTTCAAAGTCCAGCTTCTTGCCTGCTGCTTTTGAGCATCTTGGGGACAACACCTTTCACTTGTCCTAATGGGAATTGCCATGTGCCTGCTCAAGGAGGATGTTAAGGCAGTCACTGTGCTGAGTCCCTAGTCAAGTCACCAGGCTTCAGCTGATGACTCTCCAGCCAGTTGTGATCATGGATTTGTCTTACATGCACAGGCCCAAAGCCATCCAGACATGTTACTAAGCAGCTCTGCCTATAGTCCTGGACTAGAGCAGGTGCTGTCCCATGTTAGCACAACACTGGGTGGGCATGTTCTTACCTTGCTCTGTGTTCATGGGCTGAGCCAATGCTTTGCATATGACTTCCAGAGGCAGGGGTGACTATCACAGGATGGGCTGGGCTGGCTTTGAGCCCTCTGCCTTTTTTTCACGGCTCTGATAATTGTGCCTGCATTTAGCAAATAAGGACCCTTGTATGTCTAGCCTTGATTTTTTCATTGACAAAGCTACCATCAAAGCTGCCTTAGAGCAATGAAGTAGAGAGCTGAGGGCTCAGATTTGTAAACTCTCGAGAGATCTCAGGGTCATAGGTATCAGGAAAGGTTCCTAGTGGGCCTGGATGGAGAGTCAAATGGGACTGGTGTGCAGAAGGCTCAGCAAGACTCCTGAGCGACCATGTAACTGGTGCACAACACAAACTGTGTCTGACTCCCGTACTGTTAGTGCTTTGCTCCTCTTTGCTTTGAAATTGCCTGGGTTTGTTGCTTTCAAAGTTACTAAGTCTGCCTTTTCTTTCCTTCTCTTCCCATCTCCATGTCTTTTCCGTGCTTCCAGACTGGCCAGAATGGATATCTCACCGACAGCAGGTTAGTGCTGTTTAGCAGACATTATTTGTATCTCTGGCTTTCTCTATGGAGGACTGCATGACTCTATAATGATGCTTTTTTCTGATGTTAACCGACAGAATCTCCAAAGAAGGCTTTTCTTCTAGTTCTCACAAACGGAGGCAGATTTTTAGGTATCTCTGTGTGACTTATTTTGTACATTGTCCTGCTGAGTAAGTTTGCCCCATGCATGGCTGCTTGTGAAGTTATTGAAGTTGTATTTTTTGCAACATCAATTTCTGAGCCCTTTTTTTCTGATTCATCAATTAAAATGGAGGGGTGGAAGGTGGGAATGGCAGGGAGGAATGGGGAAGCCAGAGGATTCCAGCAGTTTTCAAACCATTCTGCCTCTTGTTTCCCAAAAGGATAGGAAAGCCCCTGCTCTTACAGTGACAGGATCAGCATCCAGATAAGGTGGGGTTGTCCCTAATCACTGATTATAAAGGCTGGACTACTTAATGGTGGCAATGAAGTGTCTCAAGCTTCCATTTCAACCAGAGTATGCTGCAGAGGGCACTGGGAACATGTTTGAGCAGCAATTTCTTATTAAGTAGTTTTCCTATGGATGAAAGGGCTGGAAGGATAGGGTTAGCCTGATGAGCCACCTTGCACAGACCCCTGCTGCAGGAGGCTGCTGAAGGTATGAGGATAAAGAACAGGATGAAAATGGAGAGACCCTCATGCCTGCTGTCCTCTCGTTTAATAGCCAAAGCTCTAGAGATGAAGTATCTCTGTGTATGAACAGGACAGGAAGATCTAAGCTAGTGTAGGAACAGCTTTGCCCCTCTCCTCAGTCCGTCACATGGCTCAGGCTGTCCTTGGAGGGACACTGTCGTGGAAAATAAAGTGTCCTCAGCACAGTTACAGGGACTGTGGCCTGGCGTCTGCTTGTGGCAGTGGTGTTCGAGGCAGGTGGTATAGTTTTCAGATCAGCCATGAGGCTGTAGTAAAACTCACCCAGCAAGTGGCAAAACAACCTGTTGCTGATGTGATTGCAGCTTTAGGAGTTGAGCTGCAGCCAGGGCTGCGCTAGGAGCTTTTCTGACTGTTGTGCTCAGTCCCTAAAGAGCTTGGTTAACCTGCTGTCTTTTTTGTGGTTCCCATAGTGGGGAGAGGGAGGATATGTGGGCCTTGGGACCATTTTGAGCTCTGGACAGAGATAGACAAGCTCTTGAGGAGATCACGGTTCCCTCAGTGGTGGTGCTGGAAATGATGTCTGTGTGAACTCCAGAGACTTACCGCCCTCAAAGCCCGGCATTCAGAGCAACACAGCTGTCTGTTTCACTCACTTGGAAGCCCTGTATTAATGCTGCTGAAGCACAGATCTGACTGCAGAGAGCTCTCTGCTGGTGGACACACTTGGAAACAGGCTGTAGTAAGGCTAATGGAGAGAAAGGCATGGCTGAAGCTGCGAGGGCAGTGCTGTCAGAGAGCAAGGGTGTGGTAGTGTGCCTGGAGTTTGGAGGGCATTCATAGAAAAAGCAGAACCATTATGCTGCTGGGTTAGCAGTAATCAGCTTTGGAGGAGTCTGGGGTCTCAGGGAACCAGAGTTTGCAGCTGAGTCAGAACAAAAGCCATGACATGCCCCGTCCCTCCAGACACAAACACTGCCCCCACCTCTCTGAACATCCCAGGAGCAGCCTTCAGAGTTTAGGTTGGAGAGAGCCGAAGAGCTTGACAGTGATGCTTGTTAGGTCAACTGTAATTTGGGGTTTGAGGCTGCATAATCCAATTCCTTCACCTCTTTAGGGATATAATCATTGTACTGGTTTTCCAAGAGATGTATTTTCTTTGGCTCTCACATGCTCCCAGCAGCCCAGGACATCACCTCAGAAGTTCCTTCCATGCCTATCTTTTCCCCTCCACAACTGCGTGGAGCTGCTGCCAGGCTCAGCTTGCAGCATTGTATGAGCACCTCTTCCAGTGTTGCCTTCCTCATCATTCCTCCCCAGCGAAGGCCCAGGAACCCATTACTGTGCTTATGATCGTTAGCTGGGCTGATAAACCAGGCTCACTGCTTGGGATGTTTTGCTGATACTACGTAAAGACCTGCTGTGGCCAGACCTGGCCTGGGGCTAAGGGAGGGTGATCAGTGGAAGCACAGCTCTAAGCATTGCAATATCCCAACATGTAGCTGTTCCATCTGGGCAGAAAGCCTTACCAGGGCTGGTGTGGAAAGTGGTCTTGCAAGATCTCGATCAGCCTTGTCTCAAGGCCTCCGTTAAAAGCTCCCTGTTCTGAGACAAGGAGGGCTTTAGCAAGGGATCATGCTCTGACCCTGCTGGCATCTCTTCCAGGCTGGGATCTGGCTAGGGAAAAGGGCTGGGAGCCAGCTCTCAACACACGCCAAGGAAGATCAGCAGTGTCTGGGTCTTCACAGTGCATGCCCAAGAAGGCTGTGACCCAGGGTGTGTGTTTGCTGTCAGATCCTTATACAAAGTGCTAACATGCTATGTCACAGAGCCAGCTGCTGACTGGGCTCACCACCCTGGTGTGGCAGTACTGATGCAGCACCTGCAGGTCCTGCTGCTGTCCCTTTCCACTGGAGGTGCGGTCTAACTCCTCCGGTCTCTGCAGGGGCAACCGGGACAGTTTGAACCGGGCCTCAGGCAGCCGCCAGAGCAGCACAGAGAGCGAGATAAAGTCGCTGGAGCCTCGGCCATGGAGCAGCACAGACTCAGATGGCTCCATCCGTAACCTGCGACCACCTGTTACCAAAGCCAGCAGCTTCAGTGGCATCTCCATCCTGACACGGGGGGACAGCATCGGGAGTAGCAAAGGCAGCACTGCCAGCAGAACGTCCCGGGCAGGTACTGTATTGTTGCCCCTGCACACCTTCTGCCAAAAGGCACCTAGCAGACATAGTCTTCGGGCTGGGGGACTGGGGCTCATGATGCTCTGGTCAGTGACTCTGGTTAAAATGGGACATGGTTGGCATCATCTGAATGTTTTCAGTACCTGGGCAGGGATATGCCAGTTGGTTCATCATCTGCTTTTTCAATACTCACCATCAGATCTTCCTTCCCTTTAGCAGAGTTATCTAAGACAAAGGACATTGTTTAGTCCCATACCCTGGAACTCAAGCTACCAATTTTCTGTTGTTTTCTCTCTCCTGCTGTGCTGCAAGTTATGTTGCCATTCCTTTCTGCTCTCCAGAATCCCTCACAGCCCTAAGGAGACTTAGTCAGGGTGAACCATCTGGCACTTTTCCTTGCTTTCCAACAAAGGAGGTCCAGGGAAGGGTGTCACCAATTAGTCGATCTCATCAGATAAAGACTGCGTTAATTGGTATCTGCCTACGATGTTCTCTCAAAATGATTCACTATACCCCTGAGAGCAAATATAACAGCAGGGAGCTGGGCCTGCAGCTCTTCAAGAGCTGTTGAATACAGCTCAAGGTTTCAGGAGTGCCAAAGGGAATTAGGATCACAAGTCTCTCTGCCTGCTTCAGATCGGTTCTTCCTTTTCCATCTAGGTAACACAAAGGGTAGCCCATGCATGGAGAATGTTACTGTGGGGCATCACTGGTAATCTGTTACTGACAACAGCTTCCTGAGAGGATGTGTGTTGCACTTGGCAGGGCACCAGCCCTTCTATCAGTGGGGAGCAGAGTCCTTTATTTTCAACTGACTGCTTGTGAAAGGCATTTGTGGAAGAGGCAGCACAGGTCTTTGCTCTCATTTTAATGGTCCAGTGATAACTGAGGAGCCATATGGTAGCTGGTTACAATTGCTGTGCAATATGAATGAGCAAAATCCAGTGTTGTCTCACTGTCTAGCTTCCTGCGCTCTCACTGGTAGGCAGCAGGTCCCCAAATGCTTGAGAGCTGTCATTTTAATGGGAAGGGGAGGCTTGTGAGTGATTAGACTGCTCCACAAGAATCCTTTCAAATAAAAGTGATGGATCTAAAAGGCAGCCAGGCTGCTGTTCTAGCACCCAGGCTGGCCTTGAAAACCACACGTTCATCTTGCAGTTTGAAGGTGCCTACATCATCTCTTGGGACCCTGTTTCCGTTGTGCTCAGGGCTGCACTTACTTTGATTATTGCAACCACCTCCGGGACTGATTCATCAACTGATGGGAGCAGTTATTTGAAGATCTGTCCCAGCCGTGTGCAAAGCAGAGCAGGAGAGGATCTGCTTTTTTGCTCTTTCTGTATTTTTCCTCCAGGTCTCCCCTGGGAACAGAAGCCAGTTGCTCTCCAGGCTTTATATAATGGCGAGTGATTAAAAACGTCTTGGGGGGGGAAGCAAAGGAATTTTCACTTGGGGGGAAAAAAAACAAACAAACCACCCTCCATATCCTCATGTTTATTCTGTGGGGGAGGAAGTGCTTAGGACTCTGGGGCTCTTTTCCCATCTCACCATTCAGCCCCTGGGCAACTTTCAGCAAAATCTTTCCTTCTTTGCACCGTGTGGCTGATGATACAGACCTCCTTAGCGGAATACCTGAAGGTTAGCTGTTGAAATGCAGTAGATCAGAGGCAGAATTAGTTAAATAGTAGCTACTGGGCATCAAGCAATAGTTTCACAGCCCTTTTACTTCTGGAAGTAAGACTGAAATACTGAGGAGAGCACTTCCCAGCTGGGTGTCCTGCAGCATGTATCGCACTCCTTCCTAACCATTTTTCCTACCATGGGAAGGAATTGCTTTCAGCCTGCCATCCCCTAACCTTTTACTCAAAAGATGTGCATGTGCTGGGTCTATGTGGCCATAAAATAGGATTCCCTCACTTCCCTCTCTGTTCTGGGCAAGCACTCGAACAGATCATCATGACATATTAGTGTCCAAGCAGGGGCCATGCCTAGCTGCAGAACTGAGCTGTGACTGGGAACAGCTCTCTAGCTTCTTTCCACAGACTGGTTTACGGTACTGAGCTGATGTGAGTGTATCTGGCAGCTCCCTGTTTTTGTAATCTCTGCCTCATGCTGGAGTGGAGAGCCCTCCGCCAGGCAGGTGCTGCTGTTAACAGCCAGATTCCTCTTCCCTGCAGAAGGCCCATGGCATTTATAGAAGGCCTTGACTTGTGCCTGGTGCTTTCCAGACAAGACAGAGGGCACATCCCTCCAAAGAATCAGTTGCAACACAGATGTGTTTTTACTACCCTGTGCCAACCCTGCCAGCACCTGCACCAAGCATGCACTGTCCTGTGGGCAGAGGCCAGCTAGATTCATCATGTGAGCCTGACATTGGCCTTTTAATTTCCTGCAGTTCTGAGTAGTGTTGAAGGTTTACACAAACAACAACTACCTGAGAGCTGTGGGTGAGGACCGCTGTGTAGGCTGTCCACTTGGAGTAAGGGTGCTAGGTTGGGGTCAGGGAAGAGAGCACACTCTTGGGAATAACAGCTATACAACTCGTGGCCATAGTCTGGAACAAGAATTGCATCCTGGTCTTCCCTGGGTGGAGCAGGGCATGCACGGGTCAGGGGGAGAAGAAGATGCTGTGACCAGCTGTGGAGGGTCAGTGTATGGACATGGACATGGAGAGGAGAGGGGTACAATCACTTGGAGTCCTGAGGGTGTGAACACCTTGGTTTGCTGTGAAGCAGAGGCAAACTAGTGACTTAGCCTGCAACCTGCTCACCCTGTCCCCCGTGGAAGCTCCCATGTGGACAGCAGAGAATGCAGTCTGGCTGCAGTGCAGGAGATAGTGACAGGATCTACCCCCCGCCCTTCCCATCAATGAATCGATGTTTTTCTCTCCCAGGTACCAACCCTGCCATGCCTTTCTCTGTTCAAGGTTTGGTACTAGGTGCCCCTGAAGCATGCAGCCAATCCCCTTCTTCACAGCCCAGCCGTGGCCTCCTACCCTGCACAGCCCAGCAGCCTCAACCACAGCCACCCCAACAGCCACCACCGCAGCCCCAAGGACTTCCACCTGCAGCCCAGCAGCAGCCAGCCATGAGTAACCACATGATATCCCAGGTGAGTTGCTGCACAGTATCCTGGGCTCGGTAAGCTCCTTGGGCACACAGGAGGGAGGTAGAAGCAGAGCCAGCATACACCCAGGGTGCTCTGGACTCACACTTGCCCAGTGGGTTTTGGGTGTCCTCACACTTGCTGCCTGTTAGGGAGTGACAGTCCCTCTATGCTATTGGCAGAGAGCAGGAGAAGGTCGGGGGCCTTGCTGTGCCTGAGTATCATGCTGTGCAACATCTCAACTTGCCAGCCTCTTCTGTATCTGCTTGGGCCAGCAGCCCTCCTGGCAAGGGATCTGTAGCCCTTTGCTGAGTGGCAGGGTTATGTTCTGGAACCAGTTGCCCTCCTGGTGAAGGACTGTCACAAACAGTAGTTGGGTTTGAGCTCCCCAGTGGCTGGTCACCTGATGTCCTGGGAAGAGGCAGACCTGGAACTGTGCCTGGGTGTATTCTCCAGACCCTCCCCAAGTTAAATCCAAGTGATGTTCCACAGCCTGCAGGGCTATTTCTGAGGATGGAGCCCTCTGGAAAGCACTCAGCGCTGTCATTCCTACATACTTTGTTCTGCTCCTGAGGCTGTGAAAAAACACAGCACAAGAGCTGCCCCTGTATCACTGCAGGACTGGGGAAGGGATGGGAGCCAGCCCTGGTGGGCATGTTTGGAGAGCAAAGCTGCCTCGTGTTCAGTGGGTGCAGACCTGGGCAGTGCACATGGGAAGTATCCTCAGTACCTTCCCATCCTGCCCTATTCAGAGCAGCATGTCAGTGCTGGACCTCAGCCTGCCTATGAGTTTTATAGGGATCCTTTCTGGTGCATCGTCTCATCTCTCTCTCTACAACAGAGAACTGCAAGTTACACTGGAGTTACGCTGGAGGTTTTCAAGATGCAACTGGACAGGGAGGGTGCTAGATAATCTTATCTAGGCTCCCTTTCCCATAAAAGGTTGGACCAGATGGTCTTCTGAGGTCCCTACCAACCTGGGCTGTTCTATGATTCTGAGTGTTTTCAATGGGCTGGGATGGGAGGAGGAAACAAGCCTCCTCGAGCAGCTTTTACTGCAGATAACACGAACAGCTCCTTGCTGTCTGTTGCCGTCTATATGAGGATGGGGGGAGCTTGTAGTTCTTGGGCCCTGGACTGGCTCCAGGTTGTGGTCTGTTTGCAGAGGATACTGAGACTCAAGGGAAGCATCTCAGTTCTACAGATGAGGTGTCTCCCTGAGGTAGCCAGGGTCCAGTGCTAAGGCTAGCAGGAGTGTCTGTCTGGAGCTGTAGCATGGCATGGGACAGAGCACAGTGCCCTGGGTGGGAGGTTTGAACACACAGTAGGCTTCTGGAGCTTGTGCAGGATCACTGTGTCTTGCTGGGGTTTTATTTTGTATCTTCTACTGTTCAGCTGTTTTAATCGTTTAGGTCCTGGAAAAACTTTTTTCATGTGTTCATGTGAAAGGTCTGAAAATGCACTGTCCCCCATGTGCGTGCACCTTCTGTTTCACCAAAGGTCAAATCAAATGATCAAAAAACCAGTCCAGTACTGACCATTACAGGTTCAGTGCCCAAAGCACAGTATGTGGTTCTTGAGTTAGGTGTTGTCATAAACAGGCATCAGCAGGTCCTCTCAGTGACAAAGTGAGAGGGGCCCCTACAGAAGGCAAGAGTGAAGAAAAGACATTATCAGCACAAAAGGCCAAGAAGCACTGCAGAGAGAGCTGGGAGTCAGTGCCACACACAGGTGGGCAGTGGAGTGGGAGAGACACAAAGGTTGTGGTGAGGGGAAGTGGCTCTCCTGCTGCTGTTGGCCATAGCTGGCCTTTGTGAACTTGTGTCACTGTTCATGCCAGGCAAGAGCTGCTTTGTGGACATGGTCAGCCTTCACAGCTTCCACAAAGCAACTGGCTGGGTTGTGTGTCTTCACAGAGAGATGAATGCTCCCCCATTCTGGTCTCCATGCTTTCCAACCCTCTGCAGTGCCCCGCTCTGTGTGTTTGCAATTGGCTCAGTTGACTAACCTTGTTGTTCCTTCTTTCTCTCCTTCCTCCTATCCTTCCTTCCCCCTCCCCACCCTTTTCCCACCCAAATCTCTCTCCTCCACTCCCTTCTCTGCTGGTCTTAGCCGGTCCCAGCGCTGCAGCCTGTTCAGTATTCTCCAAGCTCCTGCCCCCAAGTCCTCTTGCCAGTCTCTCCACCCCAGCAGTACAACTTGGTATAAACCCCATTTCCTCTTCTTCACTGTCTCTGTTCTACTCGTGCTGTGTTTGTGTTGTATGAGCTTTTGCTAATCAGGTATGTTGCGGACACTGCACCCGGTGGGTTTGGGATTCATGGAGGCACTGTGCTGCAGTGGGGTCAAGGCAGTGGCATGCCTCTGAGGCTGTGGGACCACCAGGGCCGGGCACTGCTGGAGTGGCTGATGTTGGAAAGAGCCTGGGGAAGAGCAAGTGCCAAGCCCAGAGCTCCACCAGGAAGCGACGCTTGTGCCCAGCACTGGGGTCCAGGGGCCATGGCTGCCCTGTGGTCTCAGTCAGCGCCTGTGTTGTCTCCGCCGGGTCTTTCGGGAACAGCACGCCCCATGGGACACGGCCTCTGTGCTGGGGCCACCCCTGCCTGTGTGGGGTCCCGCATGTCACCAGTGTCCGCTGAGCATTCGCACCCCCCAGCAGCTCGCATGCCCCTAGCCCCTGTCCTGCAGAATGCTCTTGGTCTGTGGCTCATTTCTGGGGACCTTTCTTGGGTGAGCTCCTCCATACAGAGTAGGGAGAAGGGGTCTGCAATCTGCTCAGCAGAGCTATGTCCTACATGCTGTTGTCCTACATGCTGTCCTCCTCCATCCTTCCCATTTATCCCCAATGCAGGCCGACGAACTCAGCAACCCCTTTGGGCAGATCAGCCTCAGCCGACAGGGCTCTACGGAAGCACCAGATCCTTCCTCGGCTATGTTCCAGTCATCCCTCATCTCCCAGCATCCTCAGCAGACAGGATTCATCATGGCAACCCCTGGGCAGCCCATTCCCACCTCCAACTACTCCGCCTCAGGGCACACGGCCCCCACACAGCAGGTGCTGCAGCCCCAGGGCTACATTCAGCCTCCCCAGCAAGTAAGGACATGCGCAAGCCTGGAGGGGATGTGCACCTCGGCCCAAAGCTGTCAGGCAAGGGGCTGCTGGGGAGCAGTCCAGAGAACAGTTCCTTGAGAGTAGGTCCCCTCTTTTTCTGCTGCTCATTTGTGATGGATCATACACAGGGGTCCAAGCTTCAGGTTGGCACGCACCCTTGCTAGGCACAGGATGATCTCTGCCCCCTTGTCCTTCTGAGCTCACAAGGCACTTATCTGGGGACCACTCTGGCCATTCCTGGCTCATAGTGTTGGGGGAGGGACAGTGACCAGACTCAGGGCTGACACCTCTAAGCTCTCTTTGGGGTCCCGCAGGGCATTATGACCTCTAGGATTGTTCCCCTGAGCTGTGATGAGAATTGTGCCTACTGTGCTCTTGCACTACTGTGCTGGGAAAGGCTTGGATGTGGAGGCTGGGAGGAGCGGGAAGGGGCTGCGGTTCCCTGAGGAGCTATCATCTGGCCAGAGCCAAAGCCCTGGTTGGTTTCCTTCGGCAGAAGCCAGGCCAGGTGAGAGAGAAAACTGGTCCTGGGGGACCAGCTTTATTGGTCCCACTCCCTCTTGTGTTCTCATCACAGTGTTTTCTTGATTCTGATAGATTCAGGTTTCATACTACCCTCCTGGGCAGTACCCGAACTCCAGCCAGCAATACCGATCTCTCAGTCACCCAGTGGCCTACAGCTCCCAGCGCACTCAACAGCTCCCCCAGCAGTCCCAGCAGCCTGGTAAGGGGGTGTAGAAGCGGGGAGGGGGCATATTTCCCTTTCCTTCCACTCTTGTTGGCTCTTAAGGACCTCCCATGCACTGTCTGGGGCCAGGCTGCTCTTCCCTGTCTCCTACTCTTTGCTGGACTTGCTGACTATAGAGCGTCTCCTGACTGTGCAAAGGAAAGTTGAAAATTGGCCTGGCTGCAAAGGCTGGTTTAGTCTTTTCCCTCCCTCTCAGCATGTAGCTTGCACTGAGGTGCTGCAAGGTGGATTTATAGCCAGGAGTTTCTGTCAGGGCTTTTTACATCTGCCATAAAGGAAACCCTTTTCCCACTCTTTAGCAAGAGGTGGGGGCAAAGCAGGATTTGAGCCCTCATATGCCAAGTCTCAGGCTGTCTCCTGTGGCCAGCTGGGAAGCTGTTCCATTTAAACCCTGTTCTGACAGGTTTACAGCCAATGATGTCCAACCAGCAGCAAACATACCAAGGTGTAATGGGAGTGCAGCAGGCACAGCCCCCCGGGCTCCTCAACAGCCAGAGGAACAGCATGGGGGGCCAGATGCAGAGTATGATGGGAGTGCAGCAGGCGCAGCCCCCTGGCCTTCTCAGCAGCCAGAGGAGCGGTATGGGGAGCCAGATGCAAGGCCTGATGGTCCAGTACACTCCACTGCCTTCATACCAGGTAGGCATCAGTTGCTCTCCGATGAGGGGCTGCTGAGGAGGGGGCCTCAGCTGTGCAGGCCTTGCAGGGAGTGGCCTGTTCTGTGCCTGAGTGATGGAGCCAAAGACAGAGACATTCGCCTTGAGAAGATAGTGCATGCTTGCCAGCTTGGGGAGGGCACGAACTCATCTGAATCTGTGTGGGACATGTCTTGAGAAGGAGGACTGAGCGCGGCTGGTCCCTTTGCCATTGTGTTCGCAGAAGAGCTGGGAGGGGCTGCCCTTGCCTGGGCAAGATTGCTCTGGGCTGCAGTAGACAACCGTCTGGCATCTCTTCTACCTTGTATGGACCTTGCTGGTGTCTCTTTGGGGCCAGTTCTCCCTGCTGCTGCTCTATGTTACCTGTCATTCCATAGGGCTGCTTCTTTCCTCCCTGCACAGGTTCCCGTGGCCAGTGAGTCCCAGAGTGTGGTCCAGCAGCCCTTCCAGCAGCCAGTGCTTGTACCAGCCAGCCAGTCTGTTCAAGGGGGGCTTCAGGCTGGAGGGGTGCCCATCTACTACAGCGTCATCCCAACTGCCCAGCAGAATGGCACCAGGTAAAGCTTCTGTTTCTCTGGCCTGCCTTGGGGAGAAAGGGGTCCTGCTGCCCTACTGAAAGGGCATAGCATCCTACTCCTGCAGCTAGAGGAGGTGGCTGAGCACCATAGATGCTGGTCATCTCTTGAGCTTGCCCAATCCTAGCTCCCGTAGTAAGTGCTTCCTGGACACGGCTGTCCTGCAGCATGCAGTGCTTCCTGTGCTCCTCCAGAGGCAGCTGTGTTTCCAGCCATCTCAAGTACTGAGGGAGCTGGTGGTTGCCTGCACAGATGGGCAGGCTGTTTCCCTCCATCACCAGCACCTCACTAGAGCACACTCTGCTTCACAGCCCTTCGGTGGGGTTCCTTCAGCCGCCTGGGTCTGAACAGTATCAGATGCCACAGTCCCCATCACCCTGCAGCCCACCACAGATGCAGCAGCAGTATTCAGGTAAGAGGGGCCATCAGTCAGGGTTGGCACTGATTCTGCACAGATTAGATCAGGTTTTGTAGGGGCTGCAGTAAACAGAGCTGCCAATTCACAGCCAAGTGGCAGCTTCTGTGCAATGGGTTTCGTTAGTCTTACCCACAGCCTACTGGGAGTTATCAGGACGTGGCACAGTGACTTTGCTCCAGGCTGATGCTGGCCTGTGCCTGGCATCTCCTTGCCATGATGGGCAGGCAGGGTAAGAGCGGGTAGAGGGAGCTGCTGTGGGCTGCGGACTCCCTCTGCTGGCAACGCGGCTTAGTGTCACCAGGGCAGCTCATGGGACCAGGGAGCACTGTGGATGAGAGGAGCATCAGGATTCCTGCATCCTCTCCCAGCTGCAGGGAAGTGAGCTGGGGCCTGGTGAATTGGTGCAAGAGCTGGAACCAGAATACTGGAGCTCTGCGCCCAGCTCTGTGATTAGATCCTTTGCCTGAAGTTTTGCTGTGATGCTTAGAGAGGTCACCCGAGTTGCCTTCAACTTGTCCCCTCTGCTCGCATTTCTCCTGGATTAAAGGTCATCACTCTCTGATGTAAGCTGTGATATCAGAGAGGGATCCTGACCGGGTCTTGGTGGGGCCTTTTTTCAACCCACCTGGGCAGGCAGGAGTGGCAGAGGAGAGAGTACGGAGGGGGTGTTGTAGGGAAGAGTGCAAAGTTGCACAGACAGGCAGGCTGCCTCTTGTCCCACAGCAAGCAGCAGCAGCAGTGCGCAGAGCCTGGGCAATACTGCTGCTGTCGTCTCTCCCCAGGGGTGTCTCCATCAGGCCCTGGCGTGGTTGTGATGCAGCTGAATGTACCCAATGGCCCCCAGGCCCCCCAGAATCCCCCTGTGGTGCAGTGGAGCCACTGTAAGTACTACAGCCTGGACCAGCGGGGGCAGAAGCCAGGAGACCTGTACAACCCAGACACCAGTGCTCAGGTATTGAGAGGACTGGGAAGCAGGCAGCTCATCTTTTGGGAGCAGCCTGGTGGGAGAGAGAGGACCCCAGCATCTGTGCTGTCTGGATGGGCTGGGAGATGGGGTTGGGTTCATCCCATGGTGGTGAGACAGGTGTGGGACCAGTCACAAGCATTGGGACTGTCTAACACTTTCCCTCCCCCAGGCCAGCACCCAGCTGAACAGCCCCATCACGTCGCCCACCCAATCCCCGACGCCGTCTCCTGTCACCAACCTCAACAGTGTCTGCACGGGGCTGAGCCCCCTCCCTGTCCTCACACAGTTTCCCCGGCCCATGGGCCCAGCACAAGGTAAGGGGAAGGAGTGGGGACAGCACAGGGCCGGGTCTTTCCTGTGATTTCTTCAGACCCCTACCAACATTTGCTTCCTTTTTACAGGTGATGGGCGCTACTCACTGCTGGGCCAGCCGCTGCAGTATAATCTGTCTATCTGTCCCCCACCGCTGCTCCACAACCAGCCCAACTACAATGCACACCAGGTAAAACTGGGCCAAACCCCCACCCATCCACTCTTTCACTGTCCTAGGAGCAGAGCAAGACCGCCCCCCTCCACTCCCCCTAGACAACCCCTCTCTGGGCAGGGCCCAGGAGTAGTTAAGAAGTAAGTCTCACACTGTGCCCTGTGCTTGGGCACCTCTTGACTAGGTAGCAGGCTGCCTACCCCACGCTCTTGCCATCCATCCGGCAGAGCTGCCATTGTAAATGGATTTCCTTAGAGCCTGGCACTGGGCTGAAATTTCATCCTGCTCCCAGCTTTGCCCAGAAGCAGTGTCAGTCCCAAATCCTTTGAGTGTCCTGGAGCCATGGCTGTGCCTTGTTCTCATCTAACTTACCCAAGCATGGTGTCACCTCAAAGGTGCCAGGGCGTGCAAGGTTCATCCAGGTGTCTTCACTCCCCTTCACAGCCATGGCCTAGTCAAGTTTGGTCTTCCCCCCCACTCCCAGGATGCTCTGTGGGCACTGTGAGGCCACAGTGTCTCCTCAGGTGACACGCTACCATTTTTATTCTTTAAGGGGCAGACTGGAATGAAACATGGAAACCGGAGCAAGAGACAGGCCCTCAAGTCAGCATCCACTGACCTTGGGACAAGTGATGTAGGCAAGTGACCCTCCTCAAGCAGTTCCCCTTTTGCCCTCTGACTAGTCCCCACTGCATGGGTGTAGCTGGCATTGGCAGAGACTCCAGATGCCATCTCTGCCCACACCAGCATCCCACAGAACCCATTGCTGGGGGTGGTTGTGGAGAGCAGTTCCTGCCTGCCACCGCCTCCCCCACGCACACAAACACACACCCACCACAGCCCGCTTGAGGCCTGGCTTGCAGGGGGAGGGGAGCATGCAGCAGAGCCAGCCCCAGTCAGCTGTGCCTGTGGGAGGTGGGAGGACAGGGGTTGCTCAGGAACCCAGTAAACACTGCCTGCACCGATCAAAGTTTTTGAGGAAGAGTGGGGAGAAATTGTTGGAGAGTCAGTTATGAGCACCAGGACACCTGGGCCCTATTCCTGCCTCTGTGAGGGTTGAAACGATGGAGTGGGTGGAGCTGGCAGAACTCCTGGGATTTTATTCCTCTTTGTCAGCAGAAAGTGAGTGTCCAGACCCCTGAGATCTTGTTCCCACCATTGCCTTCCCAAGTGACCCTTCCCTCTCATGCTTCCATTTCCCAGTGGGGCCAGGAGCTGCAGAGCCCTAATCTTTGTAAAGGGCTTTGGGATCCTCCAGGGGTGGCTGTGAGGGCTGAAATCCCCAGTGGATCGTTCCTCTCCAAAGGGGAAGGGACTCCCTGTTCCTCGCCCTGGGGGATATCCACTTGGTCATCAGGGAGGGAAGGGGAGGCACGTCTGGCTTCTCCCCACAGCAATACAAGACTTGCTAGTTGGGCATGAGCCAAACAGCCTGGAAGGGATGCAGTCTTCACTGGCTCTCTGGAGGCTTCAGCCTTGTCCCCTGTGTCACCTCTATGTCACCACCACCAACAGCAGCTGGTTGCAGGGGGCCCTTTAAGAGCTGCTTGCCAGAGAGCTGCCCCCCTCCCTGCAGCTGGCATGTTCATTACATGCCATGTTAATATTAGCAAAGAATTCATTCAGCCAGCCCTCTGCTAAGCCCAAAAGCCAGGGCTGGAGCCAGGAGGCAGCAGAAGTGTTTGGGTACCACAGGGCAGAGGCAAAGAGGTTGGCATGACACTGGCCTGGGCACACAAGGGGATCCTCCCCATGGGTGAAGCACCCAGGACAGTGTCACATTCAGGATCCACACATGTCGACATCCTCTGTGGGTGCAGCCTGTCTTTCTCCCTTCCAGAGACAGAGGGCAGGAGAGCTGGGTTAGCTCCCAATCCTGGTAATCAAGGATCAGGGTAGGAAGATGGGGCAGAGCACCTGGAAAAGCCCTAACTGAAAAGCCAAGCCCAGCCAAAGGAAGCAAGGAGGACTTGGTGTTGCTGGAGCCCTGGGCAAATGGGAAATACCAGTCTGCTCTTGAAGCAGGCCATGTGGGGACCAGGATGTGGGCATCAGAAAGGATCAGGGTGGGGCACTGTAGGGAGCAGAATGGTAGGGGCAGTTTGAGGAGGAAGAAGTGACTGGCTTAAAAAAATACATTTCTAATGTGGGGGCAGCTTAGCAAAGCACTGCTTTCATGGGCAAAGTAGAAGTGACTGCTCCAACCCCCAGAGCTGGTGAGGAGTCCACACATCAGCTCTCACTGTGCCGTTGCCACCCAAGAATCTGCTGCTGCTGACATGTGCTGTCTTTCCACTGCAGTGCTGGGCCGAGTGCTGGAGGTGACAGACCTGCCCGAGGGCATCACGCGGACAGAGGCTGACAAACTCTTCACCCAGCTTGCCATGGCTGGTGCCAAAATCCAGTGGCTCAAAGAGACTCAGGGGCGCCGTGGAGATGGGGGCGGCGGGGACAACAACGGGACTCCAGAGAACGGCAGACACAGTGACCTTGCTGCCTTATACACCATCGTGGCCGTGTTTCCCAGCCCGCTGGCTGCCCAGAATGCCTCCCTCCGCCTCAACAACTCCCTCAGCCGCTTCAAGCTGCGTGTGGCCAAAAAGAACTACGACTTGCGGGTGCTGGAGCGTGCCAGCTCACAGTAGGGCTCACGCATGGGCACAGAGCACACTGGACTGCGGGCACTTCCCTCTGCCTTCTCTTTTCCTTTCTGCCCTCCCTTCTTCTCGCCCTCCTTCCTGGATATATTTATATGGACATAATTAAGAGACAAGAAATTGATTTTTTTTTTATTATTATTATTTTTTGAGTGATGCCCGTGCCCGCCCACCTTACCCTGTGTATATTGTTTTGTTAAGCACTGTGTTGAACCGCACATACAGGTGTTGATTGGTATGTTCACTGCACATTTTATTTAATCTGATTATTATTTGGGGGATATTTTTGGTTTTATTTTATTTGGGGGGTTGTTTTTAAATATAAAAAGAAAACTTGTCCATCACTTTAACGCTGCTTTCCCGTTCTCTGCCAGTATCAGTGCTAGGGGCTGTCTGTGCTGCCTCTTCAGCGTGAGATGACAGCCAGGGAGCAGAAGGGGCACTCACGGGAGGATGTGTTCTTGCCCAGGTCCTGCCCCCATGCTTGGCACGTGCAAGGGCTGTGAGCTCATGGCTTGCCAAGGCTGGGAGCCAAGACTGGGAGAGGAGCGCTGAGCACTTTGACCTGGGGCTGGTCCCCCCTGTCAGATATTCATAGCCTCTTTTCCCAGCTGCTGGCCCCATGCAGCTGTGCAATGGCAAGAATGGGGGCGCAGGGTGTCCCCAGCTGTATCCCCTGCCAGGAAGCAACTTATTCCTCCTGATTACAGAGGAGCAGCCCTTGAGCTGACAGATGCAGGTATCGCTGTGTCCTGCCCTGTGGGTACAGGAGTTGGGCTGGCACCACCCTCACCATGGCATTGCACACAGCAGCTGGAGCCTCTTGCAGCATCTGGATCTGCAAGCATCTCACCTTCAAGAGCAGGTGCAAGTGGAGAGGTAAGAGCTGTCTGGAAGGGGTGGGCTCCAACCCGAGCCTTGGTGCAAACTTCTGCCCCACTGCCACCCACAGCCTGGCAGGGACATAGGTCCAGGGACTCTGGCACTGGGGTCCGTGTCCAGCTCCAGCGACCTGACACCCACTGCAGGGCAGCATGATAACAATGCGGTCCCCAGCTCTCTCCTCCACGGCAGCCCTGTCTCAGTGGAGAGCAGACCAGCAGGATTTGCTGCCAGAGAGACCCCACTGCTGCCACTCTCTCCTTTTCCCCTCCCAGCTGCAGGGGCCTCAAATGCAAGAGCAAATGAGACATCAAGGCTGGAGCACTTGGTGTGCCCCGGCTCTGCTGCTGCCCCATGCCAGGGGGTGGGTGGGCCTCTGGCACGCCCAGCAACCCACTAACGCAAATAGCCAGTGGCTCCTCTCCACCCCGCTCCCTTCCTGGCTCATGCATGGGCTCCAATTTCTCAGCGTCAGCCTCCACCAGCGCTCAGCTGTCGGTTCCCCTCTGGCCTGTCACTCCCACTCTCCACGGGACTGGGGCAGCTGCCCCCTCCCTGCACGCCCGGCACGGAGGACTGGGGGCTCCACAGCCAACAGGGCCCCAACATCGGCCACCCTTTGCGGGGTTTTTCATCGCAGGACGAGAGCTCCAAACACAGCGTAAGTGTGTTTCCATGCGCGGCTCCCCCTCATTGTGGCCACTGATCCCTGTGGGCCCCTGCTCCACCCACATTGCTGCAAGACCCTAGGGCTCTTGCTTCTGCAGCACCCCCTGCCCCAGGACTCCCCAGCCCCCATCACTGTTTCCCTGACGGTCATACTGGTTGGTTTCCACTAGGGCATGGGGGGGCCTCATGTTAGGTATCGCCAAAAATAGTGATGCCTGGGTAGAAAGACTGTGGGGATGGTTGACAGTCAAAGGTGGAATCAGGCATGTTTTGGGGGATTCAGGAGCAGATCTTGCCCCCATGGTAGCACAGGGCTTCTGTGGAGAAGAAAGCAGGGCTGTGCAGTGATGCCAGACAGCATCATAGGCATGCTTGTCCTAGGGGGCCAAGAGTCGCACCATTTGCATTTTAATTGTGAGATGGAGATGTCTAGACAGAGATGGACACATGCAGGTAGCCCAGGGTCTGGCTCGCAGCACTTGGCACCACATCCACCGAGCAAGCAGCAGTGCTGTGCACGCTGGGCTGGGAGCCTGCCGTTCTCCAGCCTGTGCAGCAGGGCCCAGCGGGTGCCCTGGGACTCACCCGCGGCAGCACTGGCCCTTGCTGGGGCAGGAGCTGCAGGCAGGGTGGCAGGAGGTGGTGCTGCTGGGGCAGAGGGAGGCGCTGGATTGGGAGATGCTTCCCATCCAGCAAGGTCTGGCCGTTCCTGCCCCCACTGGGCACCTGCAGTGGGAACAGCCCCAGCCAACGTGATGTCTCTCTTTTTCCTTCATAGCATGACAGAGAAGGAAGTGCCAGAGCCACCAGCTTCACCTGCTTCAGGTGGGAAACCCAAGAGCCGGGTAAGTGGGTGCTCACAGGGCAGCTTGGGTGGGTGGGGGAAGCCACCTTTCTAGCATCCTCTCTGCCTCAGCCCCAGCAGTCTTTGTTGGGGCCAGGGATGCCTGGTGGGATCCTGATCCAGCAGGACACTGGGTAGCCATTTCCCAGCTTGGCTTTTCCCCAGGGTGCCCACATCCACATGGTGCTCAGGAGTCACAGTTTCTCCTTTTGTGGGGACTTCACGGGGCCAGGAGAAGGGTCCCTGTCCTCACAGCATTTCTGCCCCAGGATGCCTGGGGTCTCCTCCCACTTGGGGAAGAAGGAGTCTCTAGGTCAGAGCAAAGGGGCAGGGAGCCAGGCACTGGCTTCTCTGCCTGCCTGCCTGCCTGCCTGCCTCACCCCACACGCCTGCCGTGTGCAATCTCTCTCACACACCTTTTCTTCCCCATCAGCTACAGAAGCTGAAGCAACTTTTCCAGCGAAAGCCCAAGGAGGAGATGGCACCAGAGCCGCAGCCCAATGGGGAGCTGGTCAGCCCCTCAGGAGGACCCATCTACTACATCTATGAGGAAGAGGAAGAGGAGGAAGAGGAGGAGGAGCCTGAGCCCCCTCCCGAGCCCCAGAAACTTGTCAATGACAAACCCCACAAGTTCAAAGATCATTACTTCAAAAAGCCCAAGTTCTGTGATGTTTGTGCCCGCATGATTGTCCGTGAGTCCTGAGGGTGCTGGGGCTGGGGGCCATGGTCAGGGCAAGGGCTGGGGGCCAAGGCTGGCGGGGGCTCCAGCCCAGCCATCCCCACAGCTGCAGTGTCACATTGCCTCTCCTTTCCACCCCTCCGCCCCCCCCACCTCCAGTCAACAACAAATTTGGCCTGAGGTGCAAGAACTGCAAAACCAACATCCACCACCACTGCCAGTCCTACGTGGAGATGCAGCGCTGCTTCGGCAAAATCGTGAGTATTCCCACCGGCCCCAGGCTTGGGACACCTCCTCACAGGGAAGACCAAAGCACTGTGGCAGGGAGCGGCCAGCCCAGTCCCTGTGGGCATGACCCAGGTTCCATGACCCACCTCTCTTCCTGGCTCTAAGGGGCGGACCCAGGCATCACCCCCCTGCTGGGTGGTCACCCTCTGGGTCCCCAGCATCCACCCGCTCCCCCCTCAGCTCTCACAGGAGGGCCCACAGGTCTGGGTGGTGGTTGATGCTCTGACCTCCTCTTTCCTTCCAGCCCCCAGGGTTTCGCCGGGCATACAGCTCACCCCTCTACAGTGACCAGCAATACGCCTGTGTCAAGGAGCTGCTCTGTAAGTACTGTCCCCATGCCGGGGTGCCCCATCTCCTCACATCCTGCAGCTGATCCCCTCTCACCATCCCTGTGACCCAGCGGCAGCTAACAGGAGTGACCCTGTGTTCGAGACACTGCGGACGGGTGTCATTATGGCCAACAAGGAGCGCAAGAAAGGGCAGGATGACAAGAAAAATGTGAGTGTGGGGTTGGCTTGTTGCTCCAAATGCCCAAGGGTCCTGGCAGCACAGCCTGCACCCCATTGCCACCCCCACCTCCCTGCGTGCTCTGCACCCCCTGACAGCTCTCTGCCTTGCAGCCGTTGGCTGCTATGATGGATGAGGAACCAGAGGCCACAAAGCCAGAAGAGGGCAAAACTGAGGGCGGTGAGTGCTGTGACCGTGGCAGGGCTGGCTGCACACGAGGGGCAAGGGACTGGGGGGGGGGGCGGGGGTCCCGCCCCCAGCCGGGGGGGGGG